TTGTTGTTGTTGCTGATGTTGTTGTTGTTGTTATTATTATTACATTTATTATTATTATTATTATATTTATTCTTATATTTTTACTGTTTTTATTATTATTATTATTATTATTATTATTATTGACGCTGTTTGAAATAGTAACATTTGTACTTTTCTTCTGTCCTTTAATGTTAAACTCAGAATTTTTGGGGGGAGTAAGAAAAGACCAAAATAAGATGGCAGGGAGAAATTGGTCACAGACAATACTTTAATTAAATATTATGTAAAATGAACAACTTTGTACAATAAAATGTAGAAATGTGGCCATAAAACAACTCAAATGAAACATACATGAGCCAGAAAAAAAGGCATTTGTTCTTTACAGAGCTTGTGTTTGGTGAAGTCTTCGTCGTGTGGTACTTAATTAGACTAAAAGACAAAAGCAGATCGCAGAAATGATGAAATCCGCAAGCGCGCTTCACATAACCTTGACTTTTTCTTACTTTCAGGGTGACCTCATGGGCTCCTCCACTTGGCCGAGCTTTGTTGAGCCATCACAAAGCAAATACATTGTACATTCATCATTTCTTTCTTTCTACAGCTGCCTTTGCTTCCTGCAGCTAAAGGAAACTTGTGTGCCGACTGCCAAGAGGAAACATCCGCTTTTGGTATGAAACAGAAAGAACATTACAACATTTACAAAGCCTGAAGTGCAAAAGAAAAACGAAAGCCTCCGATAAAAAAAAAAAAAAAAATAGATATATTAAATCATAAAATAAAAAAATTGCGGATTTTGGCACGACTCAAAAAATCAAAAGATTATCGAGAAAGAAGAAGTAGGTGATAATGATTTTGGCTATGCTACCGTGTCATGAATTACTTACAAAATGAGATTTACAATATAGAACATCTTCATCTTTGTTGTCCATATATGATACAAAAACTAAACTTTCATTTGTTTTCATTCCCTTTGAACGCTGTTAGACTCGAGGGAATAGGGTGAAATTAATGTTAAAGACAAACTGACAAAATAGTCTGAAAAAGATGAGGGGTCACAATAATTATTTTTTATTTTAGTAAAAAAATGTTTGTGCTTTTTACACCATTGATCTGAATGGAATAATGAGATTCACTGTGGTGCACGTTCGTCATTAAAACAGCAGAAAGGTTTCTCTCATGAGATTCACCGGGAAGCCTTTTGTTTCTGACATATTTTAATAAACATTAGTTACTGATGTATATTTCCATTGCAGATATTTTTTTTCCTTTTCTTTTTTCATTCTTGATCCCTGTAAACATGGTTGAGTTATGTGGCAAAGTCATGGTGGCAGGTAAAAATGACTTCTTTTTTTTTTTTTCTTTACATTCTACAAAAACAAAATTTACAACCACAATTGGATTTCCCCCCCGGGGCGGCTTGACATGCACTTTATCTACTAATATTATTACAGCCAGGTGACACAAACAATTTATTTGACTATACAACAAACAGTTTTCTTTCAAAAAAAGTACTTTTTTCAGATAACTTAAAAATGAATATAAAAATAAAGAATGGATTTGACTGCTCCTCAAACAAACAAAATCAAATGGAAAGTCTGATGACATTTAAAAAAAATCTGAATTACAAATGAAATGCGCAGACGATACAATCTATCGGTACAAAACATCGAATGTAGGCGATAATTCTTGGCTAAACCTTCATCGTAATTTCGGCCATCCAAAACAATTACATGTGAGATCAACGAAAGCGCAAACGAACCGATGGAAAGCAATATACAAAATTCCAAAGACAATTTCAAAGATAAATACAATATTTATAATTGATATGTTACAAAAAATTCCCTTAGTGACCGCAAGTGTTTGTGTGAAAGTGTTGCAATGTATAAGACAATTTTACTCCTAACTGTAGGAATAAAACTCTGTACTAAATATTTAAGTGAATCTGGAAAATTCAAGACAAGTGTATAAATATTTAGCTACAACTTTGGCAAAATCACAAAAGTCTACAATTGTATAACCACATACAAAACACATTAGGGAGTAAGGAGCTAGAGGTATAAGGACAACTTTCTGGTACAAGAAACAGACTTCACAGTAGCCTAAGAATGCAATAGTATACAGTGCTAGCAAAAAGTTGAAAAACATTGCAGATCACACTCGCTTTACAGGAAGCTTTAGCAGTGGAAATGTCTTCTTTTTTTGTTCGTTTTTTCCTCTTTTTTTTAACCAACAGACAGTAGCGATTCGTCTCTGTTAGTGTGCTTGTTGAAGGCAAGAGAAGAATTTTCGCAATATCAAAGTTACATTTCTACCTACAATAAGTTACAAAGTTCATTTCTGCCAAATGAACTGAACGTTCCGTTCGTTCTTCCTTGCCTTTCTTTTTGATTTATAAATCATATATCTTATATTATTTCCAGTTTATTGGCTCTGTATATATTGGCCCCCTTTTATTACCACAATCAAAAAAAACAAAACAAAACTAAAAAAAAATAACAAAAAAGGAAAATGAATTCACATTATGAAGATGTGCGGCGGCAGCACATCGGTGAAAGAGAAACATTCTTACACATTTTTTTTTCTGTTATCAGTGTTTTCATCAAATGGCATATCCACAATGTTTCTTCCCACACATAGCAAGAACATAGCCAAGATTAAACCAGAAATGTTTATACAAAATAGGTACATTTTGTTCTTTTTTTTTTTTGTTGTTTCTTTTTCCAGATCGTGAAAATATGACAAGAGATTCAGTCAATAAAATGAAAGTGTTCATGACCAAGTCGCTTGCGTTTCGATTTCCAATAAACTTTGAAAACAAGTGTCTTTTTCCAACAGAAGTGGCTGCTGATTAACTTCATGACGAATGACGGCTCCGAGGAAGATCCTCCATACAACAACATACTACTCTTCGTCCTCAGCGAAGAGACTGCTGCTTTACAATGGAAGGGAGTGCAATTTACATGGGGGGGACCACCAGTCCGGACATGGCTGAAAGAGAAAGAGAAACAATTTTAGCACGGGAGGTCCCGAGACGCCTGCACAGAGAACAAAAAAGAAACACTGAAGTAAGTGTGTCACTCGCATTTCACAAAATACTCGACTCGAAAGGCGCTGGGGATGTTTGCAAAATGGAGGCTGTTGCCGAGGGGGGGAGGGTTCGGGAGTGATTGAGTGAAATGTGCTTCACCAACAAGACGTGCTGGAAAGACTTCACTTTTTGAAAGAAGAGCTTTCTGACATTTTGAGGAGAAAGCATCCTGGCTCCCACATGTGTGATATTTCTCTTAGCGTTTTGTTAATGGCAAACAGTGGGCCAGACTCCCAGGAGAGGGTCCCTGCTGACAGCCGAGAAACAACACGGTCACTTCTGCTAACGTCACGTAGACCCGCGGTCTCCCCTCCTCAGTCAGCAACCAGACACCCCTCGGCTTTGCCCAAATTGAAATCTTCGCCTCGCTCCCTCCTGCCATTACCGGAGCCGGGTAGACGCTGGAAAACCATTTGCATTCTTCTGTCAGCCCCTATTTGGTTCCCTTAGCGTGACATCTAAAGAAGGCCGGACTAGGTCGTCGTAGGCCCGCCCAATCGCAAAGATTGATGCACTCGCTCGTTTCCGCAATTAGGTGTCTAGTGAAGTGCCAGGGGAGGGGAAAACGGGAAGAAAGCTCTTTTGCCGCTTTCAACTTATTTGTAGAGTCATGCTTGGAGTGCTTTTAAGTTTGCCAAGGCATCTGATGTTGTGGCATTCCTCATTAATTTCTGCAAACCACATATTAATAAGTAGACGCATGTAGCGGCATGAACTTTAATTTCTCAGTTCATTAGGTCTAACATTATTAATCTCGCTTGCGCACGCTATGGCTAAAACATGTTTTCAAAGCAAACAACTGGGCCTTGACGGAGAGCAAATACGAGCGCACTAAACAGCCAGAGTAAGTCTTTAATTTGCCGAACGACGCCGCCCTGCCGAGAATACGGTGAGCTCTTTCGCTCTCGCTCTTTCTTTTTATAATCACATTCAACCTGGGTTATAATCACTTCTTCTGCTGTTGAGATCCTCTCTGGCGCTGTTATTCGACGTCGGGTGAGCGAGCATAGCAAGGCGTTAACATTTCTGCCCTTTCAGATCCCAACTATTGTAGGAAGCATCAATTTTTAACTCGCTACAGTATTCTGAGGACCTTGCACAGGTAAGGAGAAAGCAGGGAGATCATTACATACATTCAACTCAGCTCGAACGAGACTCTGAATAATGAAGGAGTGTCAATTTGATTTGCGCAAGATATTTCCGAATTATTGCAATCCCAGCCACTCGAGTATGCAATCTCATGAGACACTTAACTTTGCTTAATCATTAATGAAAGATAAATAAATCAATAAACACACCCACACATGCACATGCATTCCACATGCCCACATGCATAATGCGTTCTTGCACTTATCCGACCACTCATCCATCCGCCCATCCACGCACGAATGCATAATTGATGCGGGCGGGAGGCCATGTTCGTTAAACCACGGGGATGGCGGATGGGTGGCGCTCTGGGTACCAGAGTGCAATAATGCGACCCAACAGGTGAGGCAACTGCGGGGCGTTCTAAAAGCAGGGAGTCGGCTCTCACCTTGAAGTCCATTGCCATTTGCACTGGTGCAAGAAGGAGGTGGAGATGCTTGGGGCCTGACAACTGGAGCAAAGGCGCTTTTTTGTTTCACTGCAGAGATGACATTGGCAGGTGAGAATGAGAAAATGCCGTGTGTACTGCTACAGTTTGAAGAGAGGCTGACCGAAGAGGCTGCCATGGTAGGGCTCGACGGAACTACTGCAACAAAGCAGACATAGTCACCACTCAGAGAGAGTTCACTTCTTACAGACGAAGAGTCAGAGAGCCGGGCCTCGCCTCTTTTTCAAATCATATTCATGGAATGGAAACAAATCAGGGAGAAATGGTTATGAGGGAAAAAATTTGGGTCATTTTTGGGGGGGGGACTAAAAACAAACGAGCAAATCAATCAGGTAAATGGAGTTGAAATGGGATGAGAGATGTCCTGCCTTGGCCACTTTCTGGATAATAGGCGTTCTTATCGACTCTGATTGGGTCACTTTGCCGAAAACATTTGAGATTTTTAATTGTTTGGGTTTTTTTTTTTTGATTTTGAGTGCTGTTTTGGTGGCCTGCTTTATAATTGCAGTTTTTTTTTTTGTTGTTGGTTTCAATCAGCTGCTTTGATTGGTCGGATTTGCTAAATGTCTCGGTTGTTCAGCCTCCAGAGTCACCCCTCCTTTTATCCAGTAGCACACATTCCCAAAAGATAACAAAACAAACCAACAAACAAACAACCAACAGAACAACAACAAAGGAGTGTCGAAAAGAAAGGGAAGCACAGGTGGGGACAGAGAGAGCGGGGAGCTCGTCATTACCTTGATACTTACTGCCGTAGGGAGAGTTCGCAGAGGAGCCATTTAAGAAGCCCGGTGAACTAGGTACACCCAAGTTGGGCATCCCTGTGTTGCCGTAGCCGTTCATGCTGTTGCTGACAGTGTTGTAGTTGGACTGCTGCGGGGTGCTGCTAGGCACGTAACCGCGAGGTGACACACTGCTCGTGTTGCGACTGTAGCCCACTGTGGATAGAAAGACTTTGGTTAAAAGCTGCCACAATTTGCATTATGTACAACAAGATGAAACAATTTATAAGCATGTGTGTTTATTTAAAAGTGAAATATAGTCGTTCGTGTTCCTTCGGCTTAGTCTCTGATTTATCAGAGGACTGAACTAACTACTCTGGTATAGGTTTTCCATAGTGGATGCACAACCTAGCACGTATTGGGAAACACCAATACACTTTGTACTTTAAGGGAGCGAATGTCCTTCCAGCTGCAACTTAGAACTGGGAAACACACTCATTCACACACATATACTACGGCCAGGTTTACTCAATTCACCTATAGCGCATGTGTTTGGACTGTGGGGGAAACCGAAGCACCCTGTTGAACAACATGCAAACTTCACACAGAAATGCCAACTGATCTGGCTTGGACTCGAACCAGCGGCCTTCTTACTGTGAGGCAACAGTGCTAAACCACGTGCCACCCTGCTAATTGAAATATATGGATTTAAAACCCTTAACAATTTGTACTACCATTCCTTCGCCTTGACTGCTGTTTTCTAAATGATTTGTACAGTAATCTGTAGTACAACTCAACCTGTTAAAGTGGCCGTTCCACACAGCAGTGCGATAAATTCACCACCATGTATGTAAGGAGGATATTCAGCGTCCTAGTGTGTATTCCGGTGTGATTTTTCCCTGTCCTGACCTGAGTGGAGGCAACAATGGAACAGGTGTAAACCTATTATCAGTACACTGGCTAAATGCAGTGTGTGAGATAGCGCTGCGTGTTCTGGCAGGCTGGCAGCGGAGAGATGGCGACAGGGTCAGGCACCTCCTGGGATCTATGCTATACACAGCCAGGAGAGATAAAGCTGCAGCCGGCCTGTGCAATGATTCATGCTGCTAGCAGATTGCTAATGTTCGCTAATCGTCGCAAGCACTTTCTACCTACGTATATAACTCATTTTGTTATTCGAGGATGAATAACTAAAGTGCTTAGCAGGTTCTTTAGCCAGGCCATGCTGCTTAGGCGAGTCTGTTTGGATCATTTTGAAGGGAGTTTGGACACTGATAGATCAGTTTTTAACATGCTAAATTCCATTTGTCGCTGCATACCTTGTGAGGTCTCTGAAACATTGACAGCAAGCTGACTGCTGAATGAGTTGACTCCCATCATTCCACCGTGAGAGGCTGTGTTGGCAAGGGACGGGATCTGGTTGTGGTTACGTGGGACACTGTATAAAGCCTCTGCGATATCTGCGGCCCTCTTCAGGATGATCTCCTACCACACGAGAGACAAACAGGAGAGTTATTGGTCCATTCTCAAAGCTATTCCTTGAACATTTAGTGAAAATGGAACATTTATGAAACATATACATATATATATAGACACATAAATATGTATTTTTCTGTAGGTAAAAGTACATGGCAGCACGTTTCGCAATAGTTGTATTGCAATGTCTTCACCTCTGTGCTACTCGGCTAGGGGAAAATAATGTAATGGATCATTTCTTCTGAATATGTATTAGACCTCTCAAGCATAGCTGGACCGCTCTGTGGAATATATTCTAGAAGTGCACCTTTTAGGGCCAAGTTCAAGGTTATCCTCCCATTTAAGTAAGCCTGTATATGGCTGCGTGCATGCGTTTTGAGTGATTAACTCATCACTTCGCACCAAGAGTCGCAGCAGTGAATGAAAGTGTGAAGAAGAAAAAGCTTTCACCCAGCTACAGTACAAAGGCCCCCAGCAAGCTTTGAAACATACAGGAATGTTGCAAAAGGAGACGAATGCTGATTTAATTACTGCCACCATGCAAAGGAAGGGAAAAGCAAAGGTGCTTCATTAGCATGAGTTTGTACCTGGTTGTTGTGTGGCATCCCGTACAGCGCTTCCACAAGGTCAGCGGCTCTCTTTAGCAACACCTCCTGCAATATGCAACATAATCAGTCATAAAGACATATAAACACCATCAGCCAGTGCATTGCACATGAACAATAAGCGTGCATGTGGGTCTAGGTAAATCATAAGCCTTTTATCTCCGGTTGGGGAAAGAATACACAAGCGGACGAGTGGAAACAAACCACTTTTTTAATTATATTTTATCGAATGCGTTCTTTTATTTCTTAGTCACATTTCATTTGACTTAGTTAGACTAGTGAAGTGATGTGTAACTTAAGCTAAATGAGTCAACATAAGGCCCTGCGTGTATTAAACAAACAAACACTAGCACGCGGCACTGAGTCAAACACAGACGCCACGTTCGGCTGCTAATTCCACGCACTTTAGCTCAGAAGAACAATGAGTCATTTTCCATATCTTAATTAAACTGGCAGAGTCCTCAAAGACAACATCTCACCCCTAATTCGTGCCCCAAATTTGCAGAAGAGTTCAATGCCCATTCCTCTTTCTTTAGGACAATAAAGTGAATTAGCTCGGGTTAATCTAGTTCTTTCATAATGACATTAGGAAATTTTTCAATTAACCCTCTTTCTCTGGCTGTTGTAAAGGACTTCATAAACGACTTCCTCTCCAGAGCAGGCTGAGAGGCTGTGCCCTGGGACACGGATGCAGGGAACTCTTGCTTATCCCTGGCTGCAAGCTTTCCAACACTTATAACACAACACGGATTAACCTGCCGCTTATTTTCCCTTCAAAAATCACACCTAAGCTGCCAAAAAGGGGCATACGGCCGTGTCTCCAAAGCACTTGCTGCGAGCAGCTCGCTTGTTTTTTCTCACCAAAGACATACTCAAGTTGTGTTTTGAGTAATAACATATTATTTTTTTGTAAGATTTGCTGACTTATCAGATTGCAGGTCCACATTCACTACGTTGTCCTTGCATAGAGTACCTTCATCATGGCTCGATGGCGATTTCATTCCCATGCACAAGCGCCATGTTGGATCTGCGTTTATCAAGATTAATCGCAGGCCGGTGCGTTTTATAAAGACGCATTGCAAACCTGAGTCTAAATAGATGACTGGTTCTTCAAATGGGCGTTTAGGTCTGAAATTGGGGGGCTCTGTTTCATGTCGCATGCATCTAGTTTGCATACAAATAAAGAATTACACTTGTCGTTCGGCAGGTAGTGTCAATGAAAGGCCCAGCTGTCCGACTGACTCTCAGCTCTCTCTCTCTAACCAAGATTAAGTGTTTTTCTGAGCCGCTAATAATTACTCATCATCTCAGTCATCATACCACAAGACGTCTTACATGCCTCCCAATTTCACCCAACGATTATCGCAATTAACGTCGCAGAACTTCACCCCCCCCCTGGCCTACACCTACTTGAACTTCTCGTCCATATTCTGACAAGTTTAAGCAAAGGATCTCAAATCGAATCTGTCAATTGCTGCACGGTGCATTTGCTAATGAACCGGATTTAAAGGCGCACGTTGAAGTGCGTGTCAAATGTGTCAGCCAATCAGCACAGAGGATGTGAATGAGTTTGTTTTGTTCCAGCATGCCCCTCTCATCCACGCGGCCTCATGCTGAGAATATGATTAGCGGTGAGCGGTGTTCGAAAAGCATTTCCATGTAAATTTCAGAGCGGCGGCGTTAAGTGTAATTGACTCCCCTACTTCTTTTCTTTTTTTTTTTTCGCATCGACACAAGACTCCAGGTTAGACCGGGAACTATTTAAACCCGAAACGATCCCACGGCTTGTTTCGTGACAAATGCGAGAGCTTATTATTACAAGAGCCCATTGTTCCGCCAGTGGACGAGAATCGTTTAAACGAGGAAACTTGTTATTATCACTCTTGAATATTGTGAGTGGTATATATCACCACTGTTAAAGAAGCCAAGTGAGGTGAGGGGCTGGAGGTGCTAATGTCATTATAAAAGTGTAAAGCAATTATTCTGTTAGTTCTTGCCTGAGGTGATGAATACATTCAGGCGTGGGGGCCAATACGTGTAGCTACCTCGCAAAAGCCGAGAGAGAGAAGATGAATTTTAATGCATGGGTAATTGCTCAACTTGAATGCATTTCTAATAATTTTTCTTGTATATTAGATTGAACGGGAAGCGGAATAGATTGGTGTTTGCGAGCTGAAACAGGACGCCGAGGCTAATGGAACTGATGAATGCGACAATACTACTGACTGGTTACCACTATATGATTCGTAATAAAGATTATTTGATGGCACCTAAGTGAATGTATAGGGCCTGATCGGATTTTCATTTTAGTGTTTGTCTTGGCTTTATATCGAGACAAATGGATGACACTGATTTCAAACAAGGACTTAAAAGAAAGAGGATTGGAAGGTCCCTTTAGCAATCTCCTGCCTCATCACATGAGTGACTTCACATATTGCTTTTTACTCTCTCTTGCCGTCTTCGTATATAAACGCGTGCACTACTTGCCCCTCCTCTTAGATCAAGCAGCAAATTTTGATTTGATCTAAAATTAGGGAGGTAAACTGCAATTTTGGGCAGCTTGTAGTCTGAATATGTTATGGATTTCGACGAATAGGTTCTTTGAAGATAGTCTTGCTGTCCTGCTATTAGAAAATAAGGATAGGGTTAACAAAAAATAAATTGTAAACCCTAAAATCTATATCAGGGGCGCATTATCAACTATAAAGCAGAGGGTGAGCATGAGTGTGACGGCTTTACCCTATTGCTAACGCACTGTGTGTACATCCCTCCCCCTCGAAAGCTCTTATTACGACAGTCTGTCTCCTGCCTGTAACATCTAATGCAGCCGCTCCTCCCAGACGCTCTGCCTCTTATTGAGAATATGTGTAAGGGTCAATTGCTGCTTTGCGTGGAGCTGGCTGTGACCCTCGAATGCGATAGAGGTGCAGACGGCTGCGGTAACTATGATGAATCACTTGGCACTTTCATTTACATGCTGCTGAACTCACATTTGGGTCCATTAGAAGCCAAAATCAAATATTTATGTTGTTTATTGGAACTGCTCTGGTGTGATGGCCCTGTGTTGAGGGTTTACCTGAATTTGAAATGAGTGAAATCGTATGCACTTGAGAGGGAAAAAAAAAGCTGTTTTCATTACGGTTGTGTTATTTATGCTGCTGTTTTTCCTTTTAATATAATACTAAACCTTGTTTGATGTCGGTCATATAACTATAAATGAATATTAAAAGGTAATAAAATATATATTTATTTATTTATTGTCAGATTTATGCAAAATATTAAAAAATACAATTTTCTTTTAGTTTCATAAGTGCTTGTTTATATATATATATTTATATATATATATATATATATATATATATATATATATATATATATATATATATATATATATATATATATATATATATATATATACAGTTGAAATCAGAATTATTTTTATTTTATCCCCTTTGAATTTTTTTTCTTTTTTTTTATATTTCCCAAATTATTTTTAACAGAGCAAGGAAATTTTCACAGTATCTCTGATAATATTTTTTCTTCTAGATAAAGTCTTATTTGTTTAATTTGGGCTAGAATAAAATTAGTTTAAAAAAATTTTAAACACCATTTTAAGGACAAAATTATTAGCCCTTTTAAGCTATATTTTTTTTCGCTAGTCTACAGAACAAACCATCGTTATACAATAACTTGCCTAACTACCCTAACCTTCCTAGTTAACCTAGTTAAGCCTTTAAATGTCACTTTATAGCTGTATAGAAGTGTCTTGAAAAATATCTAGTCATGTATTTTTTACTGTCATCATGGCAAAGATAAAATAAATCAGTTATTAGAAATGAGTTATTAAAACTAATTCTCTACGTAAAAAAAAAAATTCTCTAAGTTAAAAAGAAATTGGGGAAAAAAATAAACAGGGGGCAAATAATTCTGAGTTCAACTGTATATAATGGATAGTTTAAAGCATTTACTGGAATGAGATTTCCTGTCCAGATATTGGCCTCCACAGAGACAGAGAGCCAAGTGTAATTGAAACACATCATGTGGCGCAGGGCAGAGTCTCACAAATTCTTAGTTTGGTGCGTGTCCACGGGACGCTAGCGCCGTTTCAGAGCTGTTCAGCGCAAGTTAATGATAGCGGCTGCTCCCATGCTGGGCTTTAATAGATATTTGTATGATATCTGTTATTAGGCCTCCGTGGTGGTCAACCCGCGCCGAGCACCCACGAACAGGGTACAAAATAATCTCTTAACATATTATTAAGAAAAGCTCTCGGCGTCGCACTGCTCTCAGATGGGAAATTAGCACGTTTTCTATTAGCCAGGCACAAGTCATAGATCCTATCAAAGCCAAATGAGCAGAAAAAAGGGACAAATCAAAGAATGGGAAACAGAAAAGGTCCGACTGGAATGCTTTGTCTTTCATGTCACACATCAAAACAACAGAACTGTGATACGTGTCGACCACATGGGAACCGCAGGCAAACTGCATGATTTGTGGAATTTAGGCTGGGGAAAAATAAATAAATGGAGCTAAAAAGCCCAGAAAGAGGGCTTGCCCATATTAACGTGTGCAAAACTCATTTATTAACCTGCTAAGACAAGGACTTTTAACGGGAAGCTCTGTAAACAAAAGATTAAACTGGATCTAGCTTTGGAAAATGAAAGGAAAACAAGACCAAAATAATCACACATCTGAAAAAGGGCCTCCGCTTAGATTACAATCGCCACTGCCTACTGGGGTGGAAAAACACTTAATTGAACCATTTCGATGGGCTGAAAGTTTGCGCGATTCCGGCGGAATCCAAACACGCCGGATTGCATAGTGATGACTTGCCAAAAGCGATTGTATGCGTTTGCTCATCTAAGCCAGTGAATTGTTTCCCCATTTTGACATTTCTATGATAAATAGCTGCTTCACACAAGCACGCACACACACAGGATCACTGACCTTGGGCAACCTCTCCGGATCACCTGGATGTCTGGGAATGACCTTCTGCAGTCTCTGGAAGCCGTAGTCAATAGTTGGTTCGTTCAGTGCTAAACCGCAAAACAAGAAAGCCATCGGTTAGCATCCTGCCCAGGCAAAACAAATGAAGAGATTTGTGTTTTCATATGCGCCATCATAAATGTTATTACATTCGCTCCTGCACCCGTCATGCATTTTATTCCAGATAGGTCTGAGCATTTGAATAAAAGGTAATAACGTGGTGTGAAATACTCCATGTAGAGTCGCATCTATCACCTCTCCTATTTGGAAAAAAAACTAGGCTATAATTGATCAGATAAATTTAAAGAAGTTAGCGGATGCATTATGAATGAAACACAACACACACGCTCGATTGCGACTGTCAACCCTGTGAAGTCTGCATCAGTCCCACTTCCTGAAGCACCCGCTGGATTTATGGGCAACGGGCAATGATGACATATGTCTGGCTATTGCAACCCTTCAGATTTATCCCTCTTTCTCGCACTCTCTCCGCCATCGTGCGCTAAAGCAAAGCAGGCAGGAGGAACACTTCATCTTATGGAGCTTTAATAATCTGTGAATGGTTGACTACAAACTGATGTAGGGCGCTATCATTTCACAGCTGTGCCGGGGCTGGCCTCATGAAATTGCTGGCCACAAATAGTAATTAATCTTTTCTTTCACACACACACGCCGCACACACACACACATGTTCCCTCCCTCTCAAATTGGAATTTTGAGTATGAAGTGCTCCGGTTATAAATCAGACAGAGCTGCTCCCTATACAAGTGCATGAATCATAATCTCAACTTCCTGCTACTGCATGCATTGTGTTTAACAAGCTTTAGAAGAGCGCATGGAGGTCTATTATGGACGCGCTGGACTTTAAGCATGTGGAACAAATATGGACACCAGGACATGATGTTACGCGCTAGGGTGTAAGTGTAACGTTTTTTTTAAATTGTCTTAAATTTTATATACGAAGACAGTGTGTGTCATTTGGATTTGTGCTCATGCAAATGTCTTCTATGCATGTTTAATTACACCCCCCTCCCATTAATTCTAATGTCACTATATACGATTTAACAATAGTTCCAATTTAATGTGGCTAATTAGTACTCCAAAGCCTGATTCACAACGTTAACACTTCCCAATCACTTTAAATGGGGGACATCAACGTTGCCTGAAACTGAATTGTGGTTTCGTTTGCGGCGCTTCAGCTGCGTTCCTCGCAGTAGATGTTGGGAATTTTTCAACTTTAAGCGCCAATGTAAGTGTCAGCCGATCCGATCACGTTATGCAAATACCACAGCTCAGACAGTAACCAGTTGCTGTTTAATTTCATTGGCTGACGCTGCTATGATGATCGCAAATTTCAGACACGCTCTCCGTCAAGCATTGTCTCTGAAACCCCGTGTGAATAAGGCGTAATGATCTAGTCCCTAAATATGGTTTCTGTTTTATTTTTTAAATCTCTATGTGTTTATTATGAAGACATGGTGGCGCAGTGGGTAACGCTGTTGCTTCACAGCAGAAGCTCACATGGGTCAGTTGGCATTTCTGTGTGGAGTTTGAAAGTTCTCCTTGTATTGGCGTGGGTTCGCTCCAGTTTCCCCGACAGTCCAAACACATGCGCTATAGGTGTATTGGGCAAGCTAAATTGGCCGTAGTGTATGTGTGTATGTCCTGGTCCCCTAGATTGGGGGTTGAGCGTTGGGCTAACAACTCAACTCATAAAAACTAGATGTTACGAAACACTAATGTGGTACGGCTAAAATATCAACATATAAGTGAGTAAGTAAGGAAGGAAGAAAGAAAGGAAGGAAAGCAAGTGTTCATTATATATATATGACTTTAGAGGCTGGGAACCATTGACCTCCATTGTATTTTTTCCTACTATGGAAATAATTAATCCTAGCAGTTTGCATTCTTTAAAATATCGTCTTTTGTGTTTAACAGAAAAACAAAACACATAAAGGCTTGATAATAATGAACTTTTTGGGTAAACGATTTCTTTAAGGTATCTTTATGCATTACTTAAATGTGATCGTCCATTAAAACTGATTTACTTCACTATCATCAAAAACAGTATATGACCAATAACTAGAGCCAGGCAGAATCTGTAGACATTTTTTTATTTATTTATTTTTTATAAGTTTTTTATTTTTATTTATTGTTATTATCTTTATTTAATTTTTTGTAGAGAATTTTCAAAAAATCTGCGGATTTATGTGGAATTATTTTGGGAGAATCGTAACTAAACACTTAATATATAAAATCTAAATATTATAGCTTTTTAACTTTAATGTTTACAATGCAAATGTATCTAGATTCATTTCTTTGTTAAAGCAAGTCTCTCACTTAATGCATCTACTAAAAGACAGAAAACATTTCTTTACAAACTGTACTGTAAATAAATCAAAGGAACACTTTCATATTGGTCAATAATAGAACTGAAAATAGAACTAAATAAATATAAATGTACACACATTTACACAAGTCAAATAATAGACTCGATGGGCTAAAAATCTGATTTAAAATCTGAAGCGCAGATTCCGTGTGCCCTACCAATAACCAATAACTTTCAAGTAAGCTTCCTGAACAAAACAATCATTGCTCACCACTTAAATAATCCTGACATCAAACTTACACACATAGACAAAATAAAATCTTATTTAAAATGCGCTGAAACTACAGAATTATTGAGATTTTGTTGGGACAACATAAGTTTTCATGTTTAATCAACTTAAATATGTTAAATCTGTTAAGTTAACTTGATTTGTCCTGGCACATTATGAATTATGAATGAATTGTGTGGAACCCAGCATTTTTCACAGTGTATAGGATCAGCTGAGCCTACATAGAAATAAATTTTAAGAGATCTACCGACTTTAAGAAGGAAGCCGTGACAGATAGAAGGAGCTGAAGATGCAAGCGGAACATCAGCAGAAAAGACTTATCAGACATGAATGTAGATGTCGCTGTCAGTGACGAGTCCGCATGAATCAATGCGCTTTTTCTTGTGAGAGATCAAATCTGTCTGTTCCCCTTACTCAGCACGCTGTTTGCTGCTGAACTCTGCTCTGAATGGAAACGGGAAGAAACGAGCTAAAGCGGAGAATGAGAGATGACAGCCAGAGAGGAGAAGATGAGCATATTAGACAGGAACTTCCTGGAAATAATTGGGTGACTTTATGATGAAGTGCTACAATTACATCTAAGTGTAGTAGGGGGCGGCAATCCAATCAATCCGATCTGATCAATATCAAACGCTGCTTGTGTTTTGGCGCGCGCGTGTCATGGTGTGACAGCAGTGATGCTATTTGACATGCCATCTTGCATGGCTGAAGACAAAGTAGCGTGCAGGAATCTGAAGTAAGATGTCGGCTTGTTAATAAAGCATTGATCGGGCGTATTGATTTTACATGACATGGCTTTCACAAGGATGTAGCTCTCTCTCGCACACCTTCACCTCCCCCTTCCTACTCTCCACCTTCCTGAGATGGCAGGGCGGATGTAAATGTTTGTATTACAGCACTTCATTATGCCTGGATTTGCCCATAAGAGGGTATCCATCATTTTAGCCTGTCTCTATTTTTTATGTCTGGAGTCTGGAACTACACAAATGGATCATGGACTTTGACACTGGCCCTTCAGGATGTGTATTTGCCCTGGGACGTATAATAAAAGCACCCGTGACATTAAATATGGGCCGAAAGCAGCAGATTTACTGCCGTTCTGATGGCACTTTCACACAGCACAGCCCCAAGCAGCAACATGTTTTTCTGTGCTCTGACATTGAGGCTTTGCTGATGAAGGAATGTGTGCGGTTTGATAAATGTATCGGAACAGTGGGCGCTAAACGCTCTTCAGTTATTGATCTGATGCTAATGCAGTAAAAGAGGTCAGTGAGACCTTCATTAGCGCAAGACAGTCCCTCACCTCGGAGATCCTCCACCTCAAACACACCAGGAATTATTAACTACAGCTGAGCGAAAAATCACAGGGAAAACTAATATCAGTCATAATATCAGTCAATATTTCCAAAAATATTAATACAATACAATTCTTGATTTGAGCAATATATCAATGCATAGATGTTTTGATATTTGCACAAATGTGTGTACATTTTAATATTAAATGTATTGCAATATGGTGACATTAAATGCTTAAACAATGCAAGTAATTTTTTGGATGGCGGGTGGCAGTTTGTTTACTTACTGACCCGAATAATAAAATATCCACAACGATGATAGTTTGAATTCTATGGTTCTTGTGAAGGCTGATTTATTCTGCATCAAGTGTTTGGCGTGACCTGCAGTAGCTGGCAGTAGGCTTTTATGTTTCTCTGTGGCGTGTTTCTTTGTGGGTGTTTTGTTTTTTCTGAACGCTACTATTGTGTCCCATATTGTATACTTATGCTCTATTCTACACCATTTTGTAGTATAAATAGTGTAGATATAAAAGAATAAGTGCACTTTAAATATCCGGACGATGCACTTATTCAACTGTTAAAATGAAGTATGAAATGTTGGACACCTCTCACACTGATTGGCCACTGCTCACGTAGTGGAAGGGGTGGAGCTTTCGGGCACTGATGTTTGATTACTTTATTTATTTTGGATTGTAAAGGCAAAATTCTCCTACGAGAGTGATTATACCACCTCCCGATGGTAAATGCGGTTATACTCCTGGCGATTATTATTTGGTACTTTGGTCATTTATTTCACAAATTAAAAACGTCATCAGGAAAAAGGTTTGAATTTTCACTCAGCAAAAAAAAAACATTAGTGTTTTATTTTGGACGATACTACATACGTATAATATGCTGTTGAGTGTGTAAGTGCATAAGTACATAGTGCATAATAGGGCTGGGTGAATAATCGAAAAGTAATCAAAAACGACATTCAGAACCTGTAATCGATCAAAATTTTCCAGGACAATTTTTCCCTACGTGTCACCCATGCAGGCACAGGACGTCAACATTACGTCATATTGATGTTGTACCCCAACATACCCCAACTTCGTTGGGATGTTGGGTTTTGTTTAGATGTGAAAATCGGGTTGAAGT